ACACGCAGTCCGCAGTGAAGGCCGCAGCGACAAACGCGTGGGCCGCAGCGAACGCACACTCGCCCCAAGAAACAAACAAACACACCCACACAAACCACACGGGAAGATCCCGCAGAGTTCGAAACACAAAAAAACAAACCCACAAACACAAGTCACGCGCCGCCTTCCACCGCACTTCCCGCCCCCTTTTTTTTTAGCCCCCGCCGGCGGCGACACGCAGCACGCATGTTCACAGCGCACTCCCGTCGCAGTCCCCGCAAGTCGCCCAACGCCGGCCCCACTTCCCTCAGCGCAGTGCAGCAGGAGTGGGGCGCGGCGTAAAATACAAACAAATTCAAAGCAGAACACAAAAAATGAAGCGGAGCATTCGTCACCGCCTCCCCCAAGCGACCCCCGGCAGCAAATGAAGGCGGCAGCTCGACGACACACGCAGCAGCTTCCCCCACCGTGCGGCTGCAAAAACACACAAACCCCCGCAGTGGCACCGCCGCCGCCGCAAACGCCGCCGCCCGCTCCCCAGCCGCGCCGCGGTGCTCGTGGAAGTGAGGCGCCACAAGAGAGGGCAAAGGGAAAAGATGAAGCCGTTTCACTCACTACACACAGCAATTGCGTCTTCGTGCGATATCGCCACGTGGTACTGGTGCACCTCGTTGTCCCAAAAGGTCCTCTGCCTCTCATCTTCCGCACTGGCCCTGTCGCCCGCGTTCCCGCACTCCTGCCACGCGTTTATCGTCACGCTATCTGCATGCTGCACGTAAATAATCTCCCACGACAAACCCCGGGCAAACTCTTCCCAGCCGTTAAAAAACTCCACCAGCTGCTCATTGAACTGCCTCACCGTGCCGGTTGCAACGCGGCGCGCCTTCGCCGTGCTTGTCTGCAGCCCAACCATCGTCCTCCGCGGCGCCCCAACGAAGAAAAAGGCGTCCACGAGCGGAAAGTTTTCGAGCCCCGGCACGTACAGCACCCGGTAGTTTGCGTCCACCCTCCCGGGATGGAGCACCTTCGGCCGCAGTGCAACCGCGTCGGTGGGGCACAGCCGCGGGTCAGTTTGCAGCAGACAGGGGCGTGGCTCGCGTCCCGTCGGGGGCCGCAGCTCGCGCAGCTTGCGCCGCATCCTGCCCACAAAGCCCGGGCACATGAACGCGCCTATTGCGTGCACCCCCGCGGCGGACGGCAGCAGCACATGATGGGGCATCAGCACCGTCATGAAGCCGGCGCGCGTCCGCATCGCCCTCGCCACGCGCACCAACACTTCGGCCTTGACCGCAGCAGAAGCCGGGGCGTTCTGGAAGCACTCCGTCCCCCGCCCCGTCACCACCCGGACCATCTTCGAGAAATCTTCCGTCGGAACGCCGCAGCACCACAAATCCGTTTTGTCCAGCCCGACGTAGCAATTGACGGCCCATGTCGAGAGGCCCTCCATCGCCCCCTCCAGGCGACTCGCAAGCTTATGCCAGCGTCCGTCCAAAACGTTGCGCTGAATTGGGCCCGCAAGAGCCATGCCCTTTTGCACATCCTCCCAGTACTTCGCTTTCTCCTCCGCAGGGCATTCGCGCACCTCCCAAGCACCCATCGCCGCCACATCGCTCTCGTCAGGGCAGTCCAT